GGGGTACACTACCTACACCCAGGGGCCCACACCAACACAGGTAGCGGGGTACACTACACCACCTACACCCAGGACCCCACACCAACACAGGTAGCGGGGTACACCCAGGGGCCCACACCAACACAGGTAGCGGGGTACACCACCTACACCCAGGGGCCCACACCAACACAGGTAGCGGGGTACACCACCTACACCCAGGGGCCCACACCAACACAGGTAGCGGGGTACACCACCTACACCCAGGGGCCCACACCAACACAGGTAGCGGGGTACACCCAGGGGCCCACACCAACACAGGTAGCGGGGTACACCACCTACACCCAGGGGCCCACACCAACACAGGTAGCGGGGTACACCCAGGGGCCCACACCAACACAGGTAGCGGGGTACACCATTTACACCCAGGGGCCCACACCAACACAGGTAGCGGGGTACACCCAGGGGCCCACACCAACACAGGTAGCGGGGTACACCACCTACACCCAGGGGCCCACACCAACACAGGTAGCGGGGTACACCACCTACACCCAGGGGCCCACACCAACACAGGTAGCGGGGTACACCCAGGGGCCCACACCAACACAGGTAGCGGGGTACACCACCTACACCCAGGGGCCCACACCAACACAGGTAGCGGGGTACACCACCTACACCCAGGGGCCCACACCAACACAGGTAGCGGGGTACACCACCTACACCCAGGGGCCCACACCAACACAGCGGGGTACACCCAGGGGCCCACACCAACACAGGTAGCGGGGTACACCACCTACACCCAGGGGCCCACACCAACACAGGTAGCGGGGTACACCACCTACACCCAGGGCCCCACACCAACACAGGTAGCGGGGTACACCACCTACACCCAGGGGCCCCACACCAACACAGGTAGCGGGGTACACCACCTACACCCAGGGGCCCACACCAACACAGGTAGCGGGGTACACCACCTACACCCAGGGCCCCACACCAACACAGGTAGCGGGGTACACCCAGGGGCCCACACCAACACAGGTAGCGGGGTACACCACCTACACCCAGGGGCCCACACCAACACAGGTAGCGGGGTACACCACCTACACCCAGGGCCCCACACCAACACAGGTAGCGGGGTACACCACCTACACCCAGGGCCCCACACCAACACAGGTAGCGGGGTACACCACCTACACCCAGGGCCCCACACCAACACAGGTAGCGGGGTACACCACCTACACCCAGGGCCCCACACCAACACAGGTAGCGGGGTACACCACCTACACCCAGGTAGCGGGGTACACCACCTACACCCAGGGGCCCACACCAACACAGGTAGCGGGGTACACCACCTACACCCAGGGGCCCACACCAACACAGGTAGCGGGGTACACCACCTACACCCAGGGGCCCCACACCAACACAGGTAGCGGGGTACACCACCTACACCCAGGGGCCCACACCAACACAGGTAGCGGGGTACACCACCTACACCCAGGGGCCCCACACCAACACAGGTAGCGGGGTACACCACCTACACCCAGGGGCCCCACACCAACACAGGTAGCGGGGTACACCACCTACACCCAGGGGCCCACACCAACACAGGTAGCGGGGTACACCACCTACACCCAGGGCCCACACCAACACCGCGAACAAAACACAATGGTATAAACGCCTTTGCCAATCACCCGCAGTAAAATTACCATATCAAAGCCCAAGCCTAACGAGACCCGCCCGGGGCGCTGTGTGTGTGTGTGTGTGTGTGTGTGTGTGTGTGTGTGTGTGTGTCTGTGTGTGTGTGTGTGTCTGTGTGTGTGTGTGTGTCTGTGTGTGTGTGTGTCTGTGTGTGTGTGTGTCTGTGTGTGTGTACTCACCTAGTTGTGCTTGCGGGGGTTGAGCTTGGCCCGTCTGGGCCCGTCTTTGGGCCCGTCTCTCAACTGTCAATCAATCTTATGATCAATCAATCTGTCAATCTCAACTTCCCCCCCCCCCCCCAGGAAGCAGCCCGTAGCAGCTGTCTAAATCCCAGGTACCTATTTACTGCTAGGTGAACATGGGCATCAGAGTGAAAGAAACTCTGCCCATTTGTTTCCGCCTCGGCCGGGGATTGATCCGGGGATTGAGACCCTAGGACTACGAATCCTGAGCGCTGTCCACTCAGCCGTCAGGCCCGCACTTAACGCACTCCACCAATCCGTCAACATTGCGGCGTTTTCGTAAAAATGAAACCAGCGTAATATTGACGGTAAACTGTTTACTAAACAAAGCCGCCATGATTGTTTAAAGATGTACAGGCTTCGTCTGTAGTTGTATAATTGGTTGATAAATCCCGGCCCAGGTGTAGATTATTATGCCTATCTTCAAGAGGAAACTAGATTTTACTCCAAGGAGTGCCGGACCAACCAGGCTGTGATGGGTCCATTGTAGGGAAAGTCGTGTCTGCTTAAGACATGACAGAGGTGCCATAGATACAATCAGAGAACACTGTATAAACATCAGAGGTCCGCGGTTGTTCAACGTCCTCCCAGCGAGCGTAAGAAATATTGCCGGAACAACCGTGGACATCTTCAAGAGGAAACTAATGGTTTTCACCAAGGAGTACCGGACCAACCGGGCTGTGGTGGGTATGTGGGCCTGCGGGCCGCTCCAAGCAACAGCCTGGTGGACCAAACTCTCACAAGTCAAGCTTGGCTTCGGGCCGGGCTTGGGGAGTAGAAGAACTCCCAGAACCCCATCAAGCAGAAGGAAACGAGAGAGAATTATGAGGATAAGGGAGGGTGAGGAGGAGAGGAAGTATGGCGCCTTCTAGCCAGATGTGGGGCCAGATTCACCAAGCAGTTACGCCAACACTTAAGAACCTTAAGCATCTTTACATTTATTCAACAGTTTGAGCCCTGAAGCACTAGGACGCTGTATCAATAACACTTGACAGTTTAATACATTTAAAGCAAGCTGGCTAAGACTGAGAAAAGATGTACAGGTTCTTAACAAATACTTAAGTGCCTTGATGAATCTTTATTCCACTCATTACTCACTCAACCCACTCACTCACTCGCTTCCTCGAGTAACGTGCACACAAGTTACAGCCCCGCTCCTGTGGTGGGTAAGTCCACTACGGGCTCACCATAGCCCGGGCTACTTGCCCCGCTCCTGTGGTGGGTAAGTCCACTACGGGCTCACCATAGCCCGGGCTACTTGCCCCGCTCCTGTGGTGGGTAAGTCCACTACGGGCTCACCATAGCCCGTGCTACTTGCCCCGCTCCTGTGTCAGGTAAGTCCACTACGGGCTCACCATAGCCCGTGCTACTTGGAACGTTTTGTTCCCAGTAGCTGAATCTTACACAACAAATCGAGTAACGCGCTTGTGAACTGACTCTGGTATACTTCAGGTATACAGTACACCTGTGAACCTCCACCTGCCCCTCTTCCCCCCCCTCGCCCCATCCTCCTAGTTCCTCTATCCCCCACTCTTCTTCTTTACCCCTCCCCCCCCTCCCACATGAAATCTGATACCAGTGACCAATATGGTAGCACCCACCACCACCACCAAGTACTGGGCCCCACCCACCACCACCACCAGGTACTGGGCCCCACCACCACCACCACCACCAGGTACTGGGCCCCACCCACCACCACCACCAGGTACAGGGCCCCACCCACCACCAGGTACTGGGCCCCACCACCACCACCAGGTACTGGGCCCCACCCACCACCACCACCAGGTACAGGGCCCCACCCACCACCACCACCACGGACAGGGCCCCACCCACCACCACCACCAGGTACTGGGCCCCACCCACCACCACCACCAGGTACTGGGCCCCACCCACCACCACCACCAGGTACTGGGCCCCACCCACCACCACCACCAGGTACTGGGCCCCACCCACCACCACCACCAGGTACTGGGCCCCACCCACCACCACCACCAGGTACTGGGCCCCACCCACCACCACCACCAGGTACTGGGCCCCACCCACCACCACCAGGTACTGGGCCCCACCCACCACCACCACCAGGTACTGGGCCCCACCCACCACCACCACCAGGTACTGGGCCCCACCCACCACCACCACCAGGTACTGGGACCCACCCACCACCACCAGGTACTGGGATCCACCCACCACTACCAGGTACTGGGCCCCACCCACCACCACCACCAGGTACTGGGCCCCACCCACCACCACCAGGTACTGGGATCCACCCACCACTACCAGGTACTGGGCCCCACCCACCACCACCACCAGGTACTGGGCCCCACCCACCACCAACAGGTACTGGGCCCCACCCACCACCACCAGGTACTGGGCTCCACCCACCACCACCAGGTACTGGGCTCCACCCACCACCACCAGGTACTGGGCCCCACCCACCACCACCAGGTACTGGGCCCCACCCACCACCACCAGGTACTGGGCCCCACCCACCACCACCACCAGGTACTAGGCCCCACCCACCACCACCACCAGGTACTGGGATCCACCCACCACTACCAGGTACTGGGACCCACCCACCACCACCAGGTACAGGGCCCCACCCACCACCACCAGGTACTGGGCCCCACCCACCACCACCACCAGGTACTGGGACCCACCCACCACCACCAGGTACTGGGACCCACCCACCACCACCAGGTACTGGGCCCCACCCACCACCACCAGGTACTGGGCCCCACCCACCACCACCACCAGGTACAGGGCCCCACCCACCACCTGGTACTGGGCCCCACCACCACCACCAGGTACTAGGCCCCACACCCACCACCAGGTACTGGGCCCCACCCACCACCTGGTACTGGGCCCCACCCACCACCATGTCTGTGGTACAAGTGCAGCTACCAGCGCTACTCCTGCACCCTAAGCCCCCACGTGGTCCGCCCCTCCAAGACCCATAACACACACCCTATACATCCTAGTGGTCACCGCTGACCCCAACACGGTAATGCCCACTTGGGCTGAGGGGCGGCAAAGTGGGCTGGTAGGCTGTCTTGCCACTTTGGGGAGGATTAGCGCGGGAGGTTATTATGTAGGCTGGTTCACGGAGGCCATCAAGGCCACTTGTCCACCGTTTGGGGAGCGGTTATCGTGTTTGTCATGTGGAGGCCTTGGAGGCCGACAGGGCTGGGCCTTGGAGGGCGACAGGGCTGGGTCTTGGAGGCCGACAGGGCGGGGGCCTTGGAGGCCGACAGGGCGGGGCCTTGGAGGCCGACAGGGCGGGGGCCTTGGAGGCCGACAGGGCTGGGCCTTGGAGGACGACAGGGCGGGGGCCTTGGAGGCCGACAGGGCGGGGGCCTTGGAGGCCGACAGGGCGGGGGCCTTGGAGGCCGACAGGGCGGGGGCCTTGGAGGCCGACAGGGCGGGGGCCTTGGAGGCCGACAGGGCGGGGGCCTTGGAGGCCAACAGGGCGGGACCTTGGAGGCCGACAGGGCGGGGTCTTGGAGGCCGAGAGGGCGGGGGGCTTGGAGGAACAAGTGTACCTTTAGCCTGGAGTATTGTATTATGGCAGGGGGGAGGGGGAGGGGGGTGGACCAGAGGGCGGGAGCCACCATATTGGTGAGTCTGGTACTGGGAAGACCATCGAGAGGGCGAAGAGGAGAAAGGGAAGTGAAGGAGAGAAGTAGATGAAAGGTAGATATGCGAATAGGACGAAGGCGGAGGAGGTGGATTAAATAGGTGGACAAATGGATGGGGAAGAGCGGGAAGACAGGTATACCCCGTATACCACGGGTGCTGGCGGGTATACCACGGGGGCTGGCGGGTATACCACGGGGGCTGGCGGGTATACCACGGGGGCTGGCGGGTATACCACGGGGGCTGGCGGGTATACCACGGGTGCTGGCGGGTATACCACGGGTGCTGGCGGGTATACCACGGGTGCTGGCGGGTATACCACGGGTGCTGGCGGGTATACCACGGGTGCTGGCGGGTATACCACGGGTCCTGGCGGGTATACCACGGGTGCTGGCGAGTATACCACCATCAGGGATTTCCTGGTCTTAATTTCATCTTTAAGTATATTGTAGGGGCGTAATTTTCCCGTCGAGTAGATCCAAGCTCTTGGGCCCCAACTCTTAGTAGTGGAGCGTCCAGGTACTTATAGCACAGGATCCCACAACCAAGGAAGCCGAGATCAACCCCTCCCCTCCCCCTTCACCCCCTTCAAAGTGCCCCAGGACCCCCTCCCCTGTACCTAGAAGAGCTAGGTGGTTACACCTTGTTTATGACAGGACGTCTCTGGTTTATGACGGTCGCAATCACCCCCCATAAACCCCCCCTCCAACCGTCTGGTTCCCCCCCCTCCTCCCCCTAAACACCCTCCCCCCCACCCCACCCCCCATGGCTTCTATCCATTGGTTTTAAAAGTCAATAACATAGACGGACGCGGAGACATCAATGAGCCACCACAGACCGACCGACCGGTCGGCCATGGCTTCCACGTTTCCCTTTGTAAACTAAATGTAAACTGGATACACGAAGTGTACCAGTAGTTTACCTGTAGAGGGTTCCGAGAGTACTACGCTGCCGGAAAGGGAACCCTGATCTAAAATAGCTACATAAGTGTAATACAGAGATGCTACGTAAAATTCTTAATTGAATATAATTAACTCAAGTTTCACCCACACTCCAGATGCTAAAACATGTTTACAAAAAAAAACAGGATGAACAACCCAGCGGGTTTTCTTCCTATTGGGGAGTGTTGTACATGCTGCTATGGCGGTGTGTCCACTCACAGGATGAGTGGCGCTGCCCAATACTGTCACTATGGCGGTGTGTCCACTCACAGGATGAGTGACGCTGCCCAATACTGTCACTATGGCGGTGTGTCCACTCACAGGATGAGTGACGCTGCCCAATACTGTCACTATGGCGGTGTGTCCACTCACAGGATGAGTGACGCTGCCCAATACTGTCACTATGGCGGTGTGTCCACTCACAGGATGAGTGGCGCTGCCCAATACTGTCACTATGGCGGTGTGTCCACTCACAGGATGAGTGGCGCTGCCCAATACTGTCACTATGGCGGTGTGTCCACTCACAGGATGGGTGGCGCTGCCCAATACTGTCACTATGGCGGTGTGTCCACTCACAGGATGGGTGGCGCTGCCCAATACTGTCACTATGGCGGTGTGTCCACTCACAAGATGAGTGGCGCTGCCCAATAAACTCGCCCCTCGGGGCAAAATTTAAAAAATGTTTTAAAAATACACGACTGAACTCGAGAATAGAATAACAGTTGTATTAAGCGACTAACGTTCCCAAAGCCGGGCTTAATAACTGGAGCTCGACCTTCCAATTATACTGGACAAGCGAAACTTCGTCCATAACAAGGGAGACATGAACAAACCTTGAATACAGAAAAAATACACAATTGTATTATGAATCTACACCTTATAAATACAAAATACAGCTATACACATCATCCATTCGAAGCCTCCAGAGTTGTATTAAATAAATCAATAGAGAAATATTCTTCACACGTGTTTCGTCGAAAGAAAATATGCTGTGCCGGTGCAGAGCAAGATTCAGGCCACGAGAACAGGAAACCTACCACCTTTAAGGGGGGGAAGGAGGGGAAAGAGAAGAGAGGGGGTTATCTTGAGGTTATCTTGAGATGATTTCGGGGCTTTAGTGTCCCCGCGGCCCGGTCCTCGACCAGGCCTCCACCCCCAGGAAGCAGCCCGTGACAGCTGACTAACTCCCAGGTACCTATTTATTGCTAGGTAACAGGGGCATTCAGGGTGAAAGAAACTTTACCCATTTGCTTCTGCCTCGTGCGGGAATCGAACCCGCGCCACAGAATTACGAATCCTGCGCGCTATCCACCAGGCTACGAGGGTAGGAGGATTATCAAGAAGGGGTAGTCAGGGGAGAGTATGAGGGGTATCAAGAACCTATTCTTGAAAACCCTTACCTTCGTCTCCATCTCTGCTTCCAAACGTGCTCCAGAGAGCCACAGTCTTCCCACTACACACCTGCCGGTATGAGGCACCTGCCGGTATGAGGCACCTGGCGGTATGAGGAAGGTGTTCTTGAAGACATCCTCACAATCCACCCAAGGGGCTCTTGGTAATCCTTGTAGGTAGTTTAGCAGAGCCGCAGACCAAACTACTGGCCACAGTAGCAATATATGCGATATAAGTAGCATACGGCACTGGAGAAGTAGCGATGTACCAGACACAGGGAGCAGCAGCAGCAGCAGAGACACGGAGGAGCAATTGCAGCAGAGACAGGTAGCAGCAGTAGCAGCAGACAGGTAGCAGCAGCAGACACAGGGAGTAGCAGCAGAGACAGGTAGCAGCAGCAGAGGCAGGTAGCAGCAGTAGCAGTAGACACAGGGAGCAGCAGCAGGAGCAGCAGACACAGGGAACAGCAGCAGTAGCAGTAGACACAGGGAGCAGGAGCAGGAGCAGCAGACACAGGGAACAGCAGCAGTAGCAGTAGACACAGGGAGCAGCAGCAGAGGCAGGTAGCAGCAGTAGCAGCAGACACAGGGAGCAGCAGCAGACACAGGGAACAGCAGCAGTAGCAGTAGACACAGGGAGCAGCAGCAGAGACAGGTAGCAGCAGCAGAGGCAGGTAGCAGCAGTAGCAGCAGACACAGGGAGCAGCAGCAGACACAGGGAACAGCAGCAGGAGCAGCAGACACAGGGAGCAGCAGGAGCAGGCGAGGCTGTGGAGCTACCGTGGCTGGAGTGGAGTGTCAACAGCGGGTCGCTACCATGATGGGTTTATGACGTAACTCACACTACCTTTTTTTACACCCCCCCCCCCCTCTCCCTTAACCCCAACCCTCCCACCCAAACCAACCCCTCCCTCCCTTCTCTTCCTTCCTCCCCTCTCTTCCTTCCTTCCCTACCTCCTTCCTTCCTTTTACTTCACACTTCATTCCTACTTTGCCATTTAACCATTCTGACAGAGTCGTTCCCTCATTCCCTGTTCATCAACTCCCCGTCTACCCCCCATACCCTCATTCTATCATTCGGATACAATGAGGATTCTATCATTCATACCCTCATTCTATTACTTTTCCTGGAAATTCTTGAATCTCAGTACCCTCCTGGCTTCATCCCTCTCCGGCATTCACCACTACCACTAGCATCACCATACTAGATGGATAGCTAGCTACCTTGAGGTGCTTCCGGGGCTTAGCGTCCCCGCGGCCCGGTCGTCGACCTAGACCTAGCAATATCTACCGCAACTAGGAGCATCAGCAGCAATTACCACACGTCAGTAGGACACAGCAGAGGCGACGAAACAAGCAGGACCATCCTCACACGCGGATGGTCTTGTTGGGTTTGTGAAATTGGGTTGAAACGACTTTTGAACCGTCTTGGACCCGTATCCTCTCCGCCTGGAACCCCAGGCGGAGAGGCTAGAGATCCATCTCTCCAGGAAGATCGTATATCTTCCCCCTCTCCCGTCTACACAGCATCTACCCGTGTCCGCCTCAGGCCACCAATAAACTCAAACGAGTGACCTATGCTTGAGAGCAGAGGGAGGAGGAGGAGGTAAGGGGGCAGGGTACACACACACGCTGTTGACCCAAGTGGTCAACAGCGTGTGTGTCAACACACTCGCTGCCTGTACTCCTGTCTGGGCCGCCCAGGCGGGACCAAAGAGCCAGAGCTCAACCCCGACAACGGCCCTAGAACTACTTAGTAATCCCCTTCCTCTAGGAACTCTCAACCTTCCGGATGTGACAATAACGTGAATGAAACACCCCCCCAAACACGTGCTAACTGCCGACACCAACAGCCTCACTGATCAGTCGTGGGTTATCATACACTACCTTGATGCCTCAGCGTAGCCCCCAGCGGAACGCCGCTTACCTGCAAATACAAGAAAACATGGTGTTAAGGTTGGCAACGGACCAATAGAATATAATAGACTAATACAATATAATATCGATATAATAGACCAATACAAGTGATGGCTATAGACCCCACTTGTGAGGTGCCACTTAGCACCACTGAAGATAACCTCAAGATAACTATTTTATGAGTTGGAAATCGATTGCACAATAGTGAGGGAGAATGACTAAATGATGATGATTAAGAATAATTGATGATTAACGATACCTGATAACGCTAATTAATGATGACTAATGACGACTGCCAAAATTATACTGACAGACATCTGATAATCAGAAATAGATTAGTATAGACGTGTCATTAGTGAAATACACAGAACAGATATTCTAAGCAACACCTGGAGTGTGAGTTCCAGGAGCTCTAGTCCCCCGGGCCCCGCTTGGGGCTAGGCTAGACTAATGATAACTTGTTCCAACAGACTATTGGAACAAGACCGTTGGTTCCAACAGACTGTTGCTTGGAGACGAGACCCGCCACCCCAACCACGTCTCCAGAGGCACCTGAGTCTCAATAATTAAGGTGTTGACACACACACACACCTGGTGATGATTTTGCTGACATCTGGTGATGACATTAGCTGTCATCT